GGGTGCTGGGAACCGAATTTGGTTCCTCTGCAAGAGCAGCAAGTGTTCTTTTTATTGAAGAGGTACTGGACCTCCAACAGAACCATGTGTCACTTCCAGTAATGTCATGTCTGATTACTGCAATGGTCAGTAATGTAAATCTTCCTTCCTCTTGACATATACTCATTAATTTCAACCTTTATTAATTCAATGATTAGGAAAATATTTATTGAGTATCTACTATATCCCATACAGTGTGCTAAAGCTACAATGATCAGTTCTAATTTTTCCTTATTGTTTTACTTTTTTTTTTTTTGGTTTTTACGACACAGGGTTTCTCTGTATTGTTTTGGAGGCTGTCAGTCCAGCCCAGCCTCGAACTCACAGAGATCCACCTGCCTCTGCCTCCCGAGTGCTGGGATTAAAGGCATGCACCACCACCGCCCGGCTTGTTTTACATCTTATATTTTCCCTAAAATATATATATATATATATGACAAATGAAAATTGTATATATTCAAGTATACAATGGGATGATTTGGTATATGTGTACTGTTGGCTAATTTTATGTCAACTTAACACAAGCTATAGCCATCTGAGAGGAAGGAACCTCAACTAAGGAAATGCCACCATAATATCAGGCTGTAGGCAAGCCTGTAGGGCCTTTTCTTCATTAGTGACTGACGTGGGGGAGCCCAGCCCATTGTGGGTGGTGCCATCCCTGGGCTGGTGGTCCTGGGCTCTATAAGAAAGCAGGCTGAGCAAGCCATGGTAAACAAGCCAGTAAACAGCACTCCTCCATGGCCCCTGCATCGACTCCTGCCTCCAGGTTCCTGCCCTTTGAGCTCCTGCCCTGACTCCCTTCAATAATGGGCTATGATGTAAAAGTTTAAGCCAAATGAACTCTTTCTTCCCCAACTTACTTCCTATCATGGTGTTTCATCATAGCAATAGTAAACCTAACTAAGATATGTACATTATAAAATGATTACCACAATCAAATTAACTCAACCCACACACAGTTTATTGGTGTCTGTGTGGTGTATATTTGAGTGTCACTCTCTTAGGAAATGTCACCATGTTGCATTGGGTCCCCAGAATTTGACCTCTTTCCCTATAGAACTCATAATTTAATAATCATAAGTTTCAAAAATAAGCACTAAAGAGGCCTTATATTTCATACACATATCGTTGAACATTTACAAATAAAATAATAATAAAAATTTTGAGACATAAATTCAAAGTTTGGTGATGAGTTGAAAATTACTGATTATGAAGGATGGGCACAGAGGAGTTCATTATATACTACATGACTAGCTTTTGTATAAGTAAAAATCAAAGGCTTTTTTCAAGTATTACAAAAAGGCAACAAATTCTAACTGACCAGTAAACCGCATATTTATAGACCGAAGCATATGATCAGAACAACCACTCCAAGTTAACGGGACCATCACCATGGTGATGCACAGGGCTGCAACACTGACCACATTGACACAGGCCAGGGAATGCTTATTCTGGGTGATTTTCAGAGGATCCTCATCTCATGGACGAGTTGCCTCCAGGCTGCCCTGAGCTAGACAGCAACATCAGAGTGGTCAGAACCCTCATTTGGAAAAGTAGATTCACCGTTGCTCGAACCAAGATTGTTTTGTTTTTACCTATCAAGCTAAGTGACAAAAGGAGCAAAGGTCCTTACATGGACTATGGGAATGATATGAAAATTATAACTCGTTAAGTCTTTCTGTAAAAATTTAAATTTCAATTAAAAGGCTGCTGTGAATGCAGCCCCATAGACAGAGTGCTTTCCTAGCAAGCACAAATCCATGGGCTCCATCTGCAGGACCAACCACATAAACTAGGTTCAGTAGCACATGCCTGTAAAGCTAGCACTCCGAAGGTAAAAGCAGAAGCCCCAGCAGTTTAGGCTCTGTGGCTATCTATAGCAAGTTCGAGCCCAGCCAAGTCTACACACATGAGACTCTGTCTTTAAAAAAAAAAAATTAGTTACAACAAACATGTGTCTGAACCTCTGACTGATGAGGCTATTTTTAGGCTGGTTCAGAAGCTTATTATTCAAATAATATCAGCAATTAAAATGTTCGTGTTGGGTAAATGTTCCAGGAAATGTGTTAGCCCAGCAGGTACACACACTGGTCATCCAGCTGAAACTTTTACTGATGCAATAAGCAGGAAGCAAACTGCCGGGCAGTGGTGGCGCACGCCTTTAATCCCAGCACTCGGGAGGCAGAGGCAGGCGGATCTCTGTGAGTTCGAGGCCGGGCTGGACCGACAGCCTCCAAAACATTACAGAGAAACCCTGTCTCGTAAAAACCAAAAAAAAAAAAAAAAAAAAAAAAAAAAAAGCAGGAAGCAAACTGAAGGAAGGGAAGAAGAAATCTCTAAATAACGGGGAGGCTGAACACTGGGGTAACAGGCACGATTTGGTGTGCTCCTCATGGTCTAGACATGCTCCAGTATAAATGGCACTGAGACACTGAACTTCAAACATAAAACCCCTGAGCACAGAGATGGAGATCAAGATTTCCATCATCAAGGGTCCTCCAACCAGAGGCAGAGATGTTGTGAGTTCAGTGACATGAAATGAACATTGTGGCTCACAACATGTGCCCCTCCCTCCAATGTCCTCTGCTCTCTCTCAACCCTCTCTCTTCACTTTCGTAAGTCCAAACCTTGCTCCAAGTCAGCCTCATTCAGAATGTCTTTGTGATCATCCAAATTCTCAAATCCCATAATAATTACTATCTGTGTCATCCTTTTGTACCCATCCTTTATTACCTTTATTTTAGGCACAAGAAGTAAGAGAGACGTTGATAGGACTAACTTTTTAATCATACGCAACACCACTCACCACATCAAACCCAATATGATGTGAGAGGTTGTAGAACGGTAAGAATGCACATGTCAGAGTGCTGTGTTCGTAGATACTTACTGACATTATGTCTTCCCCCAATGACTTTCTAACTCAGTTTTGAGACAGGGTCTCTCACTAGACCTGGATTTCACTGATTAGGTAGGCTAACTGGACAATGAGCTCTAGGCATCTATCCGTCTCTCCCCTCCCCAGCACCCACCTTTTACAGTAAGGCTGGGATCCTCGTGTTTGCAAGACCTGCACCATCTCCCTCATCCTATACGGTGCTTTTGGGAAGAAAACCAATGTGCTGCAGCCCCAGGTTCATATCACACTGGAGACCTGATGCCACGCAAATAGGGCATTTCACACTATCCTGGCCCCAGAAAAAGGATTATAATGCTAGTGCATCTTAAAAGTGCCACACTGGGGTGATGCCCATGGAAACCCTTTGAACACACTAATTGGATTTAGTTTCAGTATTCACTCATCACTCTTGGTTCTTTCTCTGCCCGAGTCTGACCTGAATATCCACTGGGAATTCCAGGGGCTCGAGTCCCTAATACAAAATGACATATTCGGGGCTGGGAAGATGGCTCAACCGTTACAAGCATGGACTGCTTTTACAGAGAACCTAAGTTTGGTTCCCAGTACTCCTATCAGGTGCCATACTCACAATTGCCTGTAACTCCAGCTGCTGAGGGATCTAACACCCTCTTCTGGTCTCCATGGGCGCCTGCATTCATTTGCACATACCCACACAGAGACCTATACATACACACATAAAAAATTGTTTAAATAATTTAGAAGTCGTTTAAAATTACATGTATGCATGTAACCTATACAGATCCTTCTGTATATTTTAAACTTTCTCTAGCTTATGCATAAGACTTAATTCAATGTAAATGTTATGTAAATGATTCTTATACTGTATTATGGAATGATGACAAGAAAGGAAGTCTGAACGGTGTAGATGAGTTTATTTTTCCTGAATATTTTCAGTCTGCAGTTAGCTGAGTCCATACCTTCAGACCCATAGACATGGAGGGTGAACTACATATTATACAGTTCTAGACTGTGTCCCTGTAGCATTCTTCACAGATCAAGTTCAGGAAATATTTACTATTCTTGATGATGTTGTGGACTGTAAGGCAGCTGGTGATGAACAGGGACTGATGATAAAGATGACTTCATGGTCACCTACAGTCCAGCAACCCTGAATTGTCAGTTTGAACACCATGTGCCCTCTTCCTCTCCCTTCTTTGTGACATGTGGGTTAAGGGTGGAAAGAGCCCTCCAGTCTGGCACAGGCCCCTTTAAAAATGTACCCAGGCTCCTCCTCTGCCAACCAGGTTGCTAAAAATACGGCTACAGCAAAAGCTGAAATATTTGCAGAGAAAACTGAATTTCCTGCTACCCCCACTCCCTCCACTCAAATGGGTAAAACCCTGACCTTAGAAGCCCCAGCGCAGCTCTGCCGAAGGCACAAGCCTCCAGTTTTCCCACCCCTTCTTATTATGGAGTCTCTCTGTGGGTTTGAGCGGGGATGTTATGTTCAGAGAGGGCCCACTCCCAGGAGGGGAAGCCACAAGTATTGGCAAATAGATCATCACATGACGCCTCAGCGCTTTTTTCCCCCTTGCTTACTAGGGCCAATCATCTGCAAACTCCTCTCCACCTGTCCCAGGAAGGGTGTGTACTGGACCACAGAGACTCTACACTCATTTATGTTTTAGCCTTTCAATGGGCTAACCATCTCTTCTGCCAGCCTTACCTTCTAGTCTTTATCTCTGCAATCCTTTCTGGCTCCAGCCCAGGGCCATAGCTCACCCTGACTCACTGCCTAGCCTGGCCTTTCTGGAACTCTCCTTTCCAGGTCTGCAGTCCTTACCTTCAGCCGCTGTGGGAGCTGGCAAATGGGCAGGGGAGTTGAAACTGGAAGAGTTAAGTATGTGGCCTGGGCCATAAGTAGTTCTCTAAAACTTGACCTCTGACACCAGGCCCTAAGGTTAAGCAGGCCATGGAAGGAAGCATGACCTGACACCACTTTGCCAAAGACCAGACTCACGCAGTCACACACAAGGGCCTCAGACTGCATCTGTCTCCAAGCTCTCCTAGAGAGCCACAGGTAACAGCCCCATCAGCTCACCTTGCTCACAAAGTTCAGGCTCCTTGTCCAGAAGAGGGGCTTCCTAAGAGCCTCAATGTGTGCTCCAAGGCAGTGAGGGAGTCCAACCGGAAGAAGTGGTGGATGTCACAGTGCCACAGCCTGCTCAGGGTGTTTCTGGAGATATATGAGCAGCCAGTGCTGCATGCCTTCGAGTCTGCATGTATGTGTCACTCGCCTCTGTGTGTTTGTACTGTGAATGTGTCTGTCTTCTCATTCTGGGCTCTGCCTTCCTCTCCGTCTGTCTTTTCCTCACCTTGAAGTCTGCCCATCCCCCAGGCCAAGCACTGAGGCCAGTTCTGTGTGGGCACTTCAAGTGGGCTGTTGCTGAAATGGTTGTTTTCTGGATGGAACTGACAGTTGCTGTATCTGGTATCCCATGGGTCTGCCAGTGTTCAGACACTCTCACCCCACACAAAGGTGTCTTACAGGAGGAAGGGAGGGAGGTGCTGTGTAGGAGTTGGAAGAGGGGGATAAAGACACCCCTCCTTTCAGTTCTGACCAGCAGGAAGAAGGGCCCAGAGGCAGCAGAGCCTGCAGAGCGATGTTGCCTAGCAACTCGGGAGACTTCACTGCAAACTCACCAAATCCCAGCTTCCTCAGCTCTAATTTGGGAAAAGCAGAGTCCAGATCTGATATCCTCTCTGACCCTCAGGTTCCCCCTTCCCTCTCCCTCTGGATTCTGGAGTAAAAGAACCGGGGAAGTTGGCAAAACCAGGGGCTCCAGATGTGTTTGTCATTTAGGCAAGGTCCTGAGTTCCTAGGACATCCTGCCGTTTGGTGGAGGTGGGGGACTAAAACGTGCCAGAGACAGATTGGGGAACAGATTTGCTGTTACAGGGGTGGGTGGGTCCCAAACATGCTGGGAGAGACACCCCTACACCCCAACCCTGGAATCCCAGCCAGCCTCCATCTCAGCTTAGAGCCCCAAACTGGCTAATCCTGTCCCCAACCTGAGTGGACATTGGCCTATCCCTCCTATTCATTCTCCCCTTAGGAAGGAGAGCCATGGCTCAAACACTCAGTGAAATGGGCATCCAACAGCCCCACTGTTGTGGCTGGCCTGTGACAGTGTTGCAGCTCTGCTACTTGGGGTGCCCTGACCTGCTCAGGACCAAAGGGTGTTTCTTCCTGTCTGCTCTAAAACCATAGCCTTCCTTCCTTCCCTGTAGTCTCAGAGACCTTAGCTGAGGAGGACTTGAGTTTTCTCAGACATGTTCCAACTACCTGAATAACATGCAACACAGTCAGCTATACTACCTTGGAAGTTAAGTGACCACAAAAAGAGCAAATCGTCTACCTCAGACGTCCCTTCCACATCTCTGCTTCCCAGCCTCTCCCCAACCCACATCCTTCCCCAGCATGGGCTCAAGGGACCAATACTAGTGATAACCCCACAGTGCTCGAGTTGACAGCATCTTTTTTCTTCCAAAGAGCAAGCGAGAGGGTGGCTAAGCTTTGCCTTATTTTGAGACAATGAATCAAAAGGTAATGAAGTCTAGTGTGTGGAATGGAATAGGATGGATGGGTGTGCTAAGTCTGCACCGCTGTATAGGTGCATTCAAAATGGGTGCTGGGCATAAGTGATTTTATTTGATGCAGACGGGTAGAAGGAGAGATCACAGACCATGAATAGATACAAAATAGGTACCTGGTCAGTGATGACTGCAGACACTTAGAACTCATCAAAGCACTGAGAACAAATGACTGTTGAATGCCCAGCAATAGATGTGTGTGTGTGTGTGTGTGTGTGTGTGTGTGTGTGTGTGTGTGTACATATACAATCAACCCTTCTAAGGCTCAGAAAACATCGTGGAAAGGGGGTGGGAAGAATGTAAGAACCAGAAGAAGGTATGGAATTCTGACTTCCAGGAATGACTTGACTTTTGAACTTGTAGCAGCTAGGTTACCTGTACAAGACATGCTCGAGATTGGGCCCATCAACACTCTGTCATAGAAAGGGGGAGGAGCTCATGAGGTCCCATTTCTCCCTTAAGATTTATAGGCAGTTAATGGTTGGTGAGGTACCCGGAGAAACATTTTTTTCAGTGGTGAGTCACTAGTAAGATGCCTACCTACGTTCCTGTAAACAAACCCTCACCCACGCTCCTGTAAACAATCCTAACAAAATTCATTGGGTTCCTCCCCCCGCAAAAAAAAAGACATGATAATAAAAGGAATACTTGTGGAAAGAAAAGATGGGGATTATCAGAAGAGGGGAAAAAGAGGGTAACCAGGTGAAAATTATTTAAATACATTATGCACACATATGAAAAAGTCATTATGAAACCCAACTATTACGTAGAATCAATATATACAATGTTTTAAATAAAATTAAAAAAAAGAAAAGAAGTATTTCATGCAGATTTTGCCAGTAGCGGGAATGCAGATATTTTGTCTGTGTGCTAGTGCCCAATCTCAAAGCAGGAAGTTTGCAATTAACCTGGGCCTCAAAGGGTGTGTGTACAAGGCCCGTGTGGTTGTTTTTGCATATTGTGTCTGCTGTGTCTGTATGTGGGAAGACAGGCACACTTCACAGAGCCGGGGAGTATGTATGGATGCGTGAGGCTTGAGGCTTGAAGCGTCTGAGTCGCTATGTACCCTTCCTGCTGCTGTGTGTATAAACAGCTTTCTACGGGGCCAGAGTGGTGAGGGCAGTTTCTTTGCAGTTTGTGGAGCTTTTCTTTGCAGAGAGGGGAGATAGAGCAATGTTTGGGACTCTGGGTTGTGAAAGTATAGGGAGGCGGATGGGGTGCGTGGTTTTCTATCTATGAGCGGTAAAGCGTGCTGCGCCCAGATGTGTGTTTCTGCCCTGGATGTTGGGAGCCTTGTGCCCAATCCGACATACATCTGCCTGGCAGTCTGTGGTTTAGAGCAGAGGGATTGAATTTGGAAGATGGGGTGTGTAGGAGGAATGGATGGAAGAGTGTAGGCGGAGGGATTGGGGCACCAAAGCGAGCAAGGCGGAGAGAGCGGAGAGAGGGAGTGGTCCTCGCTCCAGCTCTTCCCGCCCACCCTACTAAAAGTGCGTCCTGATTGGCTTCGAGGCCGCAGGGCTCAGGTTACATTCGCAAGAGTTGCAGAGCGCGGGAGACCGGACCCGAGAGAGAGGTTGGTTCTGCCAGGGTTCTGATTCTGGTCGGGGAGTGCGGGACAGCCCCTGAGCTGCTACCCAGTATCGTACAGATCCACCCCCACTCTGCGCCAGGCTCCACCCCAGCCAAGGACCCCCAACACCGGCATGGACTGCTGCACGGTAAGTCCATGCTTGAACTCAGCTTGGTCTGGGACAAGGGGCACCCCGACAACCCCTGGAGGGTGAGAGAGGGGTGGAAGAGGGTACGGAAGACCTAGGAGTCATGTGGGGAAGGAGGATGCTGAAATATTGTATTGGGTGGTGGAAGACGCCTGTCTGATCCGAGCCAAGCCCCAGGGGAAAATGCTCCCCAGCTTGCGGGGGCGTCTGAGAGCCCAGGCCAGGCAGTCTAGGTTGGATCGGGAGCTGAGCAGAGCTTTCCTGCAGGAAAGCTGCAGGTTAGGCGACAGGTGGAACTTCTCCCAGGGAGACACTGGAAACTATTGCTGGTGAGCAAGTCCTTTCCCTTGGTATTTTTTGGCCCACGCCATTTCCTATCCCGTTGCTGCCGTCGTGGGACCGAGGCAAGATCTTCACGACCTTCGAATGATTGTCTAGCCCTTACACGGCTAAGGCGGGGAGAATATACCTGGTCGCGGTGGTGATGGGCCGCCAAGAGCCTAGTCAGTGTGGTTCTGGGGAGGAGCTGGCCCGGCCCCCAACGCCTTCTCTTTTGAAAGGTGCTGGGTGAGTGACCGTGAGAGAGCCCTGCTGGCGAGGGGAAGAAGTGTGTGTCAGCGCCCACACGGAAACTCGATGCTGCAAGTGCCTAACGCCAAAACAGGTCCTGTTAAAAGGACTTGTATGACCGTGCCCAGCATAGGACCAGGCTCCTGGCTGGGTAAAAGAGCAGAGTGACCAGACCTATATAAAACGTGCTTATTCTTAACTCCTGTCTGTGGAGAAAGACGACTCCACACTCCTGGTATTCCCTTTCTGTCAGCCTGGCTAAAAATGCCAGAAGGTACTTAAGGAGGGCCCCCCCACCCTTCACCCTCAGTGTGCAAAAAATAAATAAATGAGTTTGGAAGAAAGGAGTAGCCCAATTCTTTAAGAGGTGAGACTTTCTGGTGTCTGGGTGCCAAAAGGCAGCGAGAATTTAGGGGCAAGCCGTGGTTGAAAATTGAAATAACAGCTGCCAGTTCTGCGAGGCAGGTCTTTCACAGTTGTACAAACGGAGGTCTAGAGATGTGGTTTTTCCCAGGTAGGCATCTTTGACAAGTGTGGAGCCCTGTCCTCTCAAAAGGCTGTCCTCTGATCCCTCTATGAAGGATACTGTTTTCTATTCCAGTAAATGCTCGTAGCCAGTGTAGACCAGAAAAACTGAAAAAGAAGCATGCCAATCACATAAGTCACGCCCCTCAAAGAAAACTGACAGACGGTTCCAGGGAAGCTGTTTGTCGTTCTCTAAAGAACAATTTGATTGCTTATTTATTTACTTACTTATTTTTTTGGTGCTGGGGATTGAACTCTGGACCTTCTGTGTGCTAAATATACACTCTGCTTCTGAGCTACACACCGAGCCCAGGAACCACTTTTTGACTGTGAAAGAAGAAATGCAGGTCTTCAGTCTTGATTGAGGAAGAGCTCCTCATCCCCAGCAGTGTTTTATTAAGAAAAGAAAATAAATAGATGGCAGATTATGAGCTATGAGTCAGTGGGGGGGAGGGGTAACTGCTGAGCAAGAAAGAATAGGATGAGAAGGCAAGAAGGATGGGGAAGAGTCCGGAGACATGGTCCAGGGAAGACATGAGTGAGTGAAGACTGGGAAGCTTGGAGAGGGATGGAGTTTCCTTCCTTTGGGATCTGCAGTGTGACAAGGGTGAGCTGTGGGGCTCCATCCTGCGAGCCCTGCCTGCCCCTGCTAGTGTTTGTAAATATCCAGGAAGCCACTGATACATGGCAAGTAGATAGCCACATAGTACATAAATGATGCTGCTAGATAATAACTGAGGGTGTGCTTGACATGACTGACATCAGTATCCCCTAAGAAGAGCAGCTACCCACCCAGTAGGGCTACCAGAGGCAGTGAATGCCCCGGATTCTGGGACACCTCCTCCAATGGACCCTGACACAGAGTCCTCTGTGTTCATGTCCCAAGTCCAGTGGACCAAAGAGCCGGACAATGGCCAGTGTCCATCTGAGTCTGTGGTGATGGAGGGAAGCAGGAGGAGGGGGCAAAGGCAAGAAGGGTAGAGGGCTGGGGAAGGAGAGATGGACAAGCAGGCACCTTCCTGCCCTGTGCTGTAGAGAGCAGTGCTCCTCTTTATGTCTTTCTCTGGGGCTCTCCTCCATGACCAACCCACCTGATGTCTGGGAAGAATCTAGTCTTTCCTTACTTGGCCCCCAACCCCTCGGTAAGCAAGCTTGGACAGAAATGGGGACGAAGAAAGCAAATCTGTCCTTTTTTCAGGGAATGTTTTTAAAAGAGCTACTATTCAGTGTTCCAGTGGCTGATTGACATAGCCAACATACCTGACTTTCCTGCGTTCATTTAATAGGAAAAGGAAAAGAAATCTGTTTTGATGTCTCACTCCTTTCTTCCTTTTCTTATTTTATTTTATTTGTAGTCTAGTTGACTCCATACCAGTTAACAGCATAGAAGTGACTGCCTACCCCAGGCAGTGGGTGACAGTACAAGCCTCTGGACCAGATCATTTCACTATTTTTTTGCCATGCAACCTGGGAAGTTATAAAATGTCTCTGAGGTTATTTCTTCACTTCTAAAATGGGGATTACATAGTATAAAGTGTGCCAAGTGCTTAGCACAAGGCCTGACACAGAACGGGTCAGCAGACAGGCATAGTTCTTAAAGCTGCTCAGCGGTTGGCCTGGCCGGGTGGTGGTGACGCAGGTCTTTAATCCCAGCATTCGGGAGACAGAGACAGGGGTATCTCTGTGATTTCGAGGCCAGCCTGGTCTACAGAGCGAGTTCCAGGACAGTCTTCAAAGCTACAGAGAAATCCTGTCTCAAAAACAAACAAACAAAACCCCAGCTGTTCAGATTTGGGAAACTAAAGGATACCATTCGCCTGAGCTAAGCTCTACTTGGCACTGAAGAAAACAAGAGTGTCAGAAGCAAAGTGATGTGCCCATCCATGGCTCCTCTGTTTTTGGCAAGTGAGTTCACCCACCCCAGATGTCCCCAGTTCATTCAGAGCCCCTCAGCACAGATGAGCACCAACCAGTCTTGGTTTCAGGAATCAAGACCAATGAGCAGACTTTGGGTTCTTTTCCCTTTTCCCTCCAGTTCTGCTTATGGGCAACCATGAGCATCCTGTCCTAAGGAATCAACCTGATGGAGCAGACTCAAGTGAGGGGCAGCATAGCCTTAGGCTAGGCCCTGTGGGGGCGGCTTTGCTTGATTTTGACTGAGGTTGATGGCCATAAGGTCAAGCCTTAGGGTGGTTGGAGACAAATACTCCTTTGGCACTCAACCCCCCAATGTCCACAGTGTCTATCACTGCCAAGGTCAAGGAGAGAGAATCTGGAATAGGTTTTTATGCTTGTTGTCCTCTTTCAAGATGTGCGTCCATTTCCTGAGACCATTCCAAGAAAGACTTGTACTCAGAGAATTGGAAACCTGAAGGAGTTGACTTGAATTTTATGTGAAGATAAGATGTCATGAAGAGTCCCAGAGCTAAGAAAGACAAAAGACAAAGGATGTTTTAGGCCTATCCATCTGCATTCAGACCAGCCTCTTGGCAATTCCTTAAAATTGTGTTTAAATCGATTGAGAAGCATCTTGAGCACAAATTAAGGAACTCTGAGGCCCAGGAAATGAGGACAGCTGGGAAAACATGATGAGAGGGAGTCATTTGTAAACTTGGGCTTGGGCTTGGACTTCTGGAGTAGACAGCTAAGCTTACAGGCTGGGAATGGTAATTCACACCTATATTCCCAACACTCAAGAAGCAGAGGCAGGAGAACCATGGGAAGTTCAAGACTAGCCTGGCCAACACAGCAAATTGTATGTCACCCAAGGCTACATGATGAGTCCTTGTCTCAGAAAATAAATTAAAATGTAAAAAGTATGTCCCGAGGGCCAATCAGTCAAGGGCAGAGGACACTGAATCCTTACCAATACCCTGCCCATTTCTGACAAACAGATAGTTGATGGTCAAGATGAGGCAGAAGGAAAGCTAACTTACAGTGTGAAGTCTTGGCCACCTGATGTGAGGAGAGAGAGACGGAGAGAATAGTGAGCACTCTTGGTCAAGAAATAAAGACAAAATCCCAGAAGCCAGAGGAGGCCCATCAAGAGAAAATGCCCTTCTGACATCATAGCAACATCTTCTCCCCAGGTATATTACTGATGCTGCAGTGTTAAGTCTCTGGAATTGATATCACCAACCTCCTTGTCCTTTCTTTAATCTTGTTTTGTCTGGAGTGGGGTGGCGTGTGTGTGTTTGAGAGAGGATCTCATGTAGCCCAGGATGGCCTCCGATTCCTGATCTTCCTTCCTTGGGCTTCATAGCTCCAAAGAACAGGCATCTGCTACCATGTCTGGTTTTAATCCTTTCTATTCCCACGTAGAGCAGGGTGACAGAAGAACAGAAATTGAACATGAAAACATGCCCACAGCATTCTGTAGGTAGAGGCAGTAAGATTGTGAGTACAAGGCTTGTCTGGGACACAAGTCATTTGCTAAAGGAATATAATTAAGTGGTAACCATTGCCCATCATGCACAAGGCCCTAGATTTGGTCTCAGCTCTCTGATAAACAGCAGGAATAAGAGAAAGTAAAAGAAAGGGAAGAGAAGGAACATTGGCTTTAATTACATCACACATTCCTTAATGATGGAATATGTTCTGAGAAATGTGTTTAGACAACTTCATAATGGTGCAAGCATTACAGGGTATATTTACAAAGCTAAGATGGTTTTGGCATCACTAGTTGAAATGATCATGTAGGACTGCCATCATATATAGTATGTATCATTGACTAAACCATCGCATAGCACATGACATATTATTAGGAAAAGCTGTGCAAGGTTGTTGTTATAGGACCACTTTGGACTTACATAATCATTTTACATCACCTTATTGTTTTTCAAGACAATCAGAGCATAGCTATTGTTTGCTGATCAATAGATTATGCCACTGGATGCCATGCAATTTACTCTTCTGCAGAACCCGTAGAGGTGATTATATCATCCTCATTTCCTCAAATGAACCAGTTAAGCCTGGGGATGCTCAGATAACTCCCCCAAACCACACCAATACAGCAAAGAGTACAACTTAGCTATGCAGCTGGTTGCATTTCCTTTCTTAGGCATTAAAATAAACTCTAGAACTTGACATCCAAGGTTCAAATCTACCAGCTACTGATAAGTGCCTGGGACCCCAGGTAGGTTTTGTTTTGCTTTGCTTTGCTTTTGACATTCTAATCATCAATGACATCATGATAAACTCAAATAAGAATGAAAGAGTGAGCTGGGCAGTGGTGGCACTGGCCTTTAATCCCAGCACTCAGAGGCAGAGACAGGTGGGTCTCAGTGAGTTCCAGGACAGCCAGGACTATTTCACAGAGAAACCCTGTCTCAAAAGAACTAAAATGCCCGGAAAACACAGCTGTTGGTCCTGGGGCAAGGTAAGCTTCAATGCTTCAGTGTAGCCATTGGCCTAACTCTTTCCTTCCCATGAGGACACTGACTAAAGGACTTCTTGTCTTATGTTTCCTTTTCTGTTACTGTTTTTTACCTCTTTCTGGTGTTTGAGTTCAACTTGGGGCACAGTAGGAAATGGTAAGCTCAGTGGAAACACAGATTCCAGGCCTCTCTGACTGAATCAAGGAGCAGTGGCCCATCTTCTGAAATTCTTGAGCTCTGGTGCAGTACTATGGGGTGGGAGGGCAGCTCTGTAGCAGATATTCGTGTCCACTCCCTGGGGAATCCTGTACACAGAAAGGCCCTTCTGAGCTGGAGGCATCTTCTCAGAGCAAAGGGTGGTCACTTTCAGAAGCGCCGGCTGCTCTTTCTCTGCCCTTCCAGATTCACCGGTCATTCAACTCCGCAGCCCCCTGAAACTAAAGGTTACTTTCAGCAGGGTTAGCTGACTTTCTCCTTTCTCCACCCTGCCGTGCACCTCTTCCTGTGTCCGCCTGGCCCTGAACCTTCTCGGTGGCTAGGAGATGTGCTCGCTCGTCTGCCCCCTCCGGGGCTTCCCGCTCTGCTTCTCCCACCGCCCTCGAGGTCCCCCCTGAGTCCTCCTGGGCTCTAGTCTTACCCCACGCCCTCATAATCTGGGCCTTATCAGCCTTAAGAACCCCTGTTCCATCCTCAGGAGAGCGCCTGCTCCAAACCAGACGACGATATTCTAGACATCCCGCTGGATGATCCGGGAGCCAACGCCGCTGCAGCCAAAATCCAGGCGAGTTTCCGGGGCCACATGGCGAGGAAGAAGATAAAGAGCGGAGAGTGCGGCCGGAAGGGACCGGGACCCGGGGGACCGGGCGGAGCTGGGGGCGCCCGGGGAGGCGCGGGCGGCGGCCCCAGCGGAGACTAGGCCAGGTGAGGCTGGCTGGAGAGCACGGCAGGCAAGAGGCTGTCGTTTTCCAGACCTACTCGGGAAAAACTGGGAGTGTCTAAGGTTGGGATGGGAGTAGAAGAACGCGAAGGGAGTCAAGGGTGGGGACCTGGGACACCGAGACAGCTGGGTGAGAGAAGGCCTAGGATGCTGACTTGCCTAGCTAACACTCACCGGTCTGTCTCTCTCCCTCTTTTATGCCTCACCTTGGACCGAAGAACTGAACGTTTTCGAAGGTAATTAATAAGACTCCAAAGCTGCAGAGTGTACAGTGCTCGGTGGGAGAAATGACCCAGTTGCTCAGTCTTTCTCTCTGCTTGCCCTCAACCCCTCCCTGCCAAGGAACATAACTTTGAAGACCCTCTGGTATGTCCAGACGCCTGAGGCTGCAGCAGAGACACACTTGAACCAACACAGACACGCAGTCGGTCACCCTCATTTGGCTGCACAAGCGCAGCCGAGGGCCCTAAGCACACACACACACAGAGGCTGACTCACGTACATGCCCCGGGGCTCATTGCAGCTCAGTGAGTTGGGGAGGGGGGCTGGGTGACACTCCCCGAAAGGGAGGGGGGAGATGACGCTAGCAGAGGGCAGATTCTCAGACATTCTCTCTCCTTAGTTCCAGAGGACAGATGATGCCGCGTCCCCTTCGCAGTGACAAGACTTTCCTACTGTGTTTGTGACCCCCTCCTTCCCACCAACCAGCCAGCTTCAGGAGCCCTCCCCCCGCCACCACCCGCCCCGCCGCGTCCTAGAGACTCCCTTGGCTTCGTCGCGGCGTTGCCAAGTCCGTACCCTTTTAGTTAGCTCTCCAGTCTAACGTGGTCCCCTTTCGCCTTTTCTCCCCACCCTCGTCCCAAACCCCATACTCGCAAAATTGTCCTTTTGCTTCACGCCCACCTGTCCCTGCGCCCAGCATGCAGCTCTGCCTCCGCAGCCTCGGTGCGCTTCGCTGCGCCTGCTGCAGAGGGCGCCCGATGCGTCGCCCAAGTACTCTCGGGAGAGGGGGTGGGGGGGAGAAGAAATGCAACCTCCAGGTCCTTTCGTTCTATGGGCAACGAAAGTGGGCGCCCCGCGTCTTTGTGCCGTTTCCACCCTAGCCTAGCCTCAACCCCTTAAACCCGGGGCCAGGAAAGAGGGGAAGAGGGTTTTCATGGTGTCTAACGATGCCCCTTGCTCTGATGGGAAGGGAAGTCCTATCCCACACCTGCCTGTCACCCCTTTTCCTTCTGAGAGCACCCCCTCCCGCTCTCCTTTGTTTATGCAAAAGCCTCCGAGCGCCTGGAGACTCAGTAGGAGGAGTCTTCCGCAGCCCTGCCCCCAGATAGCCCCTACCCCGCTGGGCTCCTGGGGTTGTGGCTGGAAGGTTTTTAATCTCTGCGTGTGCATGTTACCACACTGGGTTGGAATGTGAACAATAAAGAGGATTGTCCAAGTGTTCAGAGGGTGCAGGGTGGGAGACGGGAGGGAATGGGAAGTGAGGGGCGGGGTTTGCATAAATCCACTAACGGGAGCCAAAACAAATGGGATAGCAGGACGGGAGGTGTGCAAATACACCTAGGTTGAAACCTATCCTTTAGACCCAGCTGAACTTCCTGATTGCAGCATCATCTCTGGGATTTCAAACCCATTTCTTCCCTGACTGAGTCACAGAGAGGAATTCACCACACCAGTAACAAGAAGGCAGTAACATGGTACCCAACAGCTTTAATCATTAACACTCCCCATCATCACCCTCAGGGATCAGAAGTCAGACAACCATAGAGAGTTTGGATTTGGTCGTCACCGTGCTGGTGGATGGAGTCTTCTCCAGGAGTTTCTTGCTGTAATCGGCCCTCATAGAAGCTGGCTCAGCAACCCCAGGAGCAGTGGCATCCTCCCTGAAGGATACAAGCAAAGACATACAGAGGCTAGAAACATCCTCTAACCCAGGAACATTTAGATTTTGCTGTCCTGAGAATCATCTGCAGAACTTTGTCCAGGCCCCGTCTCCACACACACACACACACACACACACACACACACACACACACACACTTTGCCTTGGGAGGCACAGAACATGGCCTAAGTCTGAGTATTTAAAAAAGTTCCTGGAAGATTTCTCCAGGTCATCTGAGGGCCACATTTTAAGAACTGTCCTGAGAGTTGAGAAGATGGCTCAGTGAGTTAAGTGTCCCATTTTTAAGTAGAAGACCTTAAAGTTCACTGAACCCCAGAATCCTTGTAAAATAAGTCAGGCACAAGTTGTAATCCCAGAACTGAAAAGAGGGTGACAGGTGGATCTCTGGGGCTCACTTGCCATCTAGCTTACTTGGTCAGCTCCAGAGCAGTGAAAATGACTCCAAATATTTGTCCTCAGACTTCCACATGGGTGACAGAGCACATATGCCCCTCCACACCGGTACAACAAGAACACACAATAAATTAAAAAATAAGGTGGACAACCTTCTTAGAAAGGCCAGGGTATCTTCTGGCCATATACTTGCACACTGACCTGCACAAACAAACACACGTGTACATATAGCCACAAAAATGAAAAAAGAACTAGTACTTGGGAGCAGAAACATGAGGGTCTATGTGAGTTTGAAACCAGCATAATCTACAGAGAAAATTCCAGGACAGCCAAGGCTACCTAGTAGGACTGTATCTAAGGAAAAGAGAAATGCTATACCAATCCCTGTTCTGACCCCATGCCTTGTAGCAAAAGTGTCAAGTATATAACAAAGAGAGCTTTGGCCTTTGTGGTTGCCCTACCCAGAATAACTCATCTCAGAACAAACGCAACTCCTGGCATCTACGATCCTCTTACCTCCAGTACCTCTATATGACACACACACACACATACATACATACATACATACATACACACACACACACATTCAGTGAGGTGTGTGTATATACTATACACATTAAGACAGAAAGAAGCCAGGCAGTGGTGGCACAAAGCCTTTAATCCCTGCACTTGGGAGGCAGAAGCAGGTGGATCTCTGTGAGTTCCAGGCCAGTCTGGTCTCCAGAGCGAGTTCCGGGAGAGCCAGGGCTACAGGGAGAAAACTCTGCCTTCCAAACAAAAAGGACAAAACAGAAAGAAAACACATTTTCATTGTGGAGAGGAGGATCAGGGCAGTCCTGCATGCTGAGCCATTCCTACCCTAGATTGTGAACCAGTCCCTCCACCCTGTCCCAGAGCTAAGCACCAGCTCCCTCCCTTAAATGCTTTTAGTGACATCAGCTTGAAACCGGAAGACATCCACTTTGAGCCCAAGATCTTTCATTCTCTGCACCACCCCCAGCTCCCCTGCTCACCGAAGGTCACTGCCCCCATATGTCTCCTTGGGCTCCTTTTTCCTCTCTTTCTGGAACCTGATCAGGCAGAATGCAGCGACGGACAGCAGCAGCACACCCAGGAGCACCCCAATCAGAGTCCCGGCCACTCGGCCTTCAGATGAGTCTAGGGACACACGACCCTCAGAGTTGTTGCAGAAGTTTTTGGCCCACCCTCAGGCAATGTCACATAGTCTCCCCAAACCAAGCCTTTCAGGGCCTCTACCCAGCATCCCCTACCAGTCACTGAGAGGTTCAGCTCACAGGAGGCACTGCCCATCTGGTTGCTGGCCACACAGCGGTAGGTGCCAGAAGAGGTCAGGGAGAGATTGGTGAGAATGAGCTGGCCAGACACTTCATCTAGAGAGTGAGAAGGAAGTACACTACCAAGCATTCAACTCACAGTCAGCCCATACTACTACTACAAAAGCTCAGTGTACTTAGTCCTTAAAATAATCTACCAAGAAAGGTCTAAGCCCATTTGATCGGTGGGAATCCTGGCTCCAAACAGGAGTTATTTGAGAAGACACAGAGAGGAACTCCAAAGCCACTGCAACTTCTGCGCGCTTGCCACACCGCACACAGCTGCCTTCTCCCGGAGGAGGGACTGCATATACAGGAAGGTAATAATAGGAAGTGGGTGCTTACTAGATGAGCTCAGATCCTGGACGTTAGCAAAAGTCTTAATAACTAGACTCCATCCTCTAGAATAACTAAGCTGATCCAACTGCTTTTCTGAGCTCTGCTGTCTCATAAGGCAGAGAACACTTAGGAAATGATCTAGGGGAGGAGACTTGCTGGACAAAGGGGTTTACAGGGATGGTAGCTACAGAACAAAACAGGGCAGGATGTATCTGGAACCAACAAAAGGAAGCTAAGGCTGCAAAGAAATCCACCATGTGTAACCCAGTTCATGCTACACTCTAGTTTCCTCTCTTGCAAGTTTGGAAGCAATTCGTGAGCCTTAAGGTATCTCCAGTGACGCCAGGCAGTCAGTGGTGGTGCACACCTTTAGTCCCAGCACTTGGGAGGCAGAGGCAGGTAGATCTCAGTGAGTTCGAGGCCAGCTGGGATTGTTACACAGAGAAACCTGTCTCTAAAAACAAAAACAAAAATTCTTCAATGACTAGACAGGTAGGAACTGTAAGACTTCCCTGTCTCCTGCTCTCTTCCAGGCTATAAGGACATTTAGAAGTATTTCCCAAGCACCAGGAAGACAGACAGGAAGGCATCAATACAAGGAAGGAGGAGGGAAAGAGTCTTAGTCATGAACTGATATGGGTGGGGCATGGGGTTTGGAGACCTGACCTTAGGTCTCCAGGCCCATCTTCCAATGCCCTGCTCTCTCACCTTGAACCATGCTACCAGGAGGAGGTGTAGGAGAAGATCCAAGACGTTCCCAGTTGTACACCGGCTTGGGCGCTCCCTCAGAGGAGCTGCATCTCAGTGCAACAGAACCCCCCACGGAGGTTTGTCCGCTGTGGCTGCATGAAGGGTGACTGGGGGGCACTGCAAATCCATAGAAGAACCTCAGTGGTCCTCTAACCCCAGAACTGATGAGTTCAACATTCCCCGTTTGAACACCTCTGCCAAGTCGTGATGTGAACCTCAGAAGTGACTTCCACTCCTGGGAACTCTGAGTCTTAGAAAAGTCTTGCCCCCGCTGAGCCCAAACACGTTGTTAATAAAACATCCACCGACCGGTTTCAGTTCTTGCCAACTGGGGCCCACAAAGGGAAATTACAATTTCTCCTCCAGGTGAAAGCCTATCAGATATTTGAGTATACAGGACACACATCATATCATAGGCCTTCTCTTTTTCATATAAACATCCCTGTCTCTTTCAACACTTCTTACTGCTCAGCTCTGAACACACTCTGATTTCTGGTGAGGTGGAAGCTGGGAACACAATGTGGTACTTGATTAGAGAGGCTCTGCTCCTCTAATGGCCCCTTCCCTTCTTTGTCAGGGACACTGGGAGGGACAGTTCACAATAGGAAGTTCCTGAATGAATGATAGAGATAGTAGAGTCTGACTCAACCTCCCCCCATCACTTGTATGACTGGTTCTGTTTCTCTCCTTTTCTCTCTGTGCGTTTCTCTCTGCCTGTGTTTGTCTGTGTTTCTCTCTGTCTCTATCTCTCTCTCCAACACGTTGATACTAGACCCTGAGATAGTGTGGGGTGGAGTTGGCGCATGACCATCTAGATTAAAAGTCTTGGGAAGGAGACCATCGTTGGTGGCACACGCCTTTAATCCCAGCACACAGGAGGCAGGCAGATCTGTGAGTTCAAGGCCAGCCTGGTCTACAAAGCAAGTTCCAGGACAGGTTCCAAAGCTACACAGAGAAACCCTGTCTCCAAGAACAATAAGAGAAAAAAAAAGTCTTGGAGAGGGGTAATTTTTTTTCTTGAGGTTCCCTGTGCAGCTGGGTAATTACTAGGGCTGCAATTTAGAACTGAGGGGGTCTGGTCAGGGTCAATGCACACTTACAGGGTAGGAGGGTGGCTATTGCATCCCCAACATGCCTTACCTAGCACAGTAAGGTTGATTAACCCCAACCCATTGGTGTAGAAATCGGGTGGGTTGTTAACGTTGCAGAGGTAGGTGCCAGTGTCTGAGGGGCGGAGGTCAGTCAGTTTCAGGGTAGCTACTCCTCCTGTCGGGGGGTTGTGGAGAAGGCTGGCCCGATCTGCTTTAGAGCCCGTGGGGTACAGGTGGTCATTGGTGAAGTACAGAATCTGAGAAGAGACCCAAGGCATTCATGTCTCCTATGTATACTACACTATCAATCACACCACTTGGGTTCAGTGACTTCACTAACTGAAACGGGTTATGTTTGCCTAGGGGAGTCGGACACACGCGCTGTAGGAAAGGAGAATGTAGGGTCAAAGTAGTTGAAGCCCCAGAACGCGAACGTTCTCCCCACCCTCCATCCTGGGTGAGTTCTCTGCCCCTGGCCAACCCCAGCAGGCACAGCGGCCCTCCACTCACAGGAAGAGAAGCAGAAACAGGCTTCCCAGGAGGCACAAAGCTCCACTCCAAGGCGAAGTTGTCTCCCACCGACGTGCTGTAACTGCAGCTCAGCTCCGCTGTCTTGCCCTTTGGCATGCTCAGTGGCTCGGTGGGCACAGTCACCTCCACGGCTAGCCCTGGGACTGAGGACCCCAACCCCACTGATGTGGTGGGTCTGTCCCACACTAGCGTGGTCGTTTAGAAACTGGGCCTTCCCTTGCTACGGGTGCAACCCCCTCCTTCAATTCAACCCTTCTCTCCTGAAACTTGAGGTTTCCGGGAGGGAGGAGCCCACAGCCCAGCCCGATTTTTGTGGGTAAAAGGTCCAGGACTGGGCCAGGTATGTGGATGTATTGACAAAAGGAAACAAGAAAGGGCTCTGCAGTGGTAAATCCTTAGATGGTGAGAGAGGCTGGCCAGCTTGTCTCCCTGCTCGTCCCTCCCCGCCTTCAATGCCCCCTTCCCAGCCTGGCACAATGGCTCCTGGCCTAAAGGACTGAGCGAGCCAGGGAGGTCCGGCCCTGCCCCCAGCTCGCTCTCGCCTTGGTTAGGCCCTCCCGGCCTCTCCTCACCGCTCAGGCACACGAAGCCCATCAAGGATCCACAGAGGAAAGTCCCCACCGGGGCCCAGGCCATGACCACGACCGTCTCCTGGTCCTGTCGTCTGTTGGTCTGGAGGGTGTAAGGCTCTTGGAACGCCGGAAAGGCAGCCACCTTGTGCTGGGCAGGAGAGAGACTGGCTATCTCAGAGCAAACAAGGGCAGAGGCGGGCACCCTCAGGGAAGGGAAACGCTCCTCCCTCATTCTTCTTCCTCCCTAATTTCCCCCTAGTTTCTGAAGCTTTCAGGTCTTGGAGAAGGATCTGGGCTTGGGGAGAGCACCCTAAAGACAGGATTCAGACTTGGAACTCTGTAAGGAAAGTTTCTTCATCAGGAAGCAGGAAAGAAGGCATTCTGACGCCCACCGACAGATGATGTCACCCCGGGGGCCGTAGACAGCAAGCATGCATCTCTGGGAGCTAAGCTGTCCTGGACTCTAGAAATTCTCTTCCCACCACGGGCTGGGGTAAGAGAGAATCTCTTCAGGGAAACTACACCCACTTCTCCATTTGAGGACCACTGGGGACAGAGAAACCATTATCTGAAGAGCCCCCTCCCCGTCGGAAAGAGCAGGATGATGTTAGGACAGCACCACATCCTAAATCTTCCCTCACCTGGCAAAGGGCACTGCTACCCAAAGAGTAGGAGGGTGTGTTTGCTAAGGATGCAGAGGCATGGGGCTCCCCTAGGCCCTGGAGAGGAAGAGCAATGGAGTGTGTGGAGACCAAGCCCAGGGCACCAGCAGCAAGTGTCCCGGTTCATCATCTCCTCGTTGTTCAGATTGGGTTAGGGGCTCCTCAGCCTCAGGCTCTCGGCACCTTCCCTTCCATATGAGGCACCTTCCCTTTCCATATGACGGCGAATGGCCCTTCTACAGACTCCAGAGGAATTATAAGCCTGTAAGCCCTGCAGCTGTGGAACATTTCCTGGATGCACAACCTGAGTGGGTACAATCTACTTCATAGCCTCCTGCAACTCAGTTTCTGCGAAGCCCTCGTTAGCAAAAGTGATGTGATTACCAGTCCATGAAAATGCAAAGTATCTTTATTGAAACTGGCAAAATAAAAACAAAAACACTGATTTCGAGTTAGTTTTTGAAAATGTCTTTCCTATACCCTGCTCCAACAAAACCTAGGCAAGCCAGCAGGTCAGGCTATATATTAATACAGGGAAGTGGACTGGAAAGCAAAGGGCAGGGGTAGGCAGGGTGTTTATAGAGATCACAGAGCCACGGGCCTCACTGACTGGCAGTCTCCTCCAGAGTCCTTGGAGGGCAGCCAACCTCAGCATCATCCTTCTGGCTTCATAGAGAGAAGCAGGGAAGAGATGGACCACCCCCCACACACACACAGAGAAAATCTCAGGTCCATTTCCTTCATTTCTCCTCTGCCCCAGATTTTGGTCTTACTGAGACCCACTTTTCCAACAACAAAGGGATGTAGGGGCAGAGGACTGGAGGTCTAGAGTGTGACTATCCTTCCAAGATTCCATCCTCTGTGCCACGGGTGATGTTCACAGGAAGGTGAGATGCCAGCCTTAGTCAATGAGTGCCTGAGCCATCACACGAGAGACCCAGCCTGACTCTGAGCAGGCACCATCACAGGCACAGCGCCCATTCGGCCCAGGGAAGAAGAAGAAACCCCACCGGGGCTCAGGGACACTGGCTGAGGTGGGGGCCCATCGGTCCTGGGCAGTCGTGGGGAGGACAGGGCCTGGCTAGAGACACTGGGTGTGGGGGTAAATCTGCCAGGTCTTGGAGGAGCAGCCTTGGGTGGCCGGAGAGCTCGTGCCGAGGTGACGGAGGAAAGCGTCCCGTTCTTGGAGATTGTATCTGCACCTTTGGTCCAAGGCAAGGTCCGGGGAGGAATGGCATCTTCCCTGGTCGTCAAAGAAGTGGCACATCAGAAGCCAAAACGAGAAAGAGTTCTTACATGTCTGTCTTACTGTCCTACCACACACATGCACCAACTCCCTTTCTCTCTTTCTTTAAATCTTCTCTTAGAAATACTGTTACAGCTACCGCCCACCTTTCCATTAAAAACGGGAGAGGCCTGCATTCCCAGACTCCGGAAAAAAGTCACAAGAGTTCCCACCCCCTCAAAGACCAGGGGCACCTACTTGATATCATTAGCCAGCTCCTCCAAGGTCTTGTTTCGGCGTTGGTACAACAAGATCAGTCCAGCCAACAGCACCAACCCGAGCAGAGTGCCCACAACTGCTCCAACAACCACAGCAGCCTTAGACTCTGAAAAATCCTTAGTGTCAGAGGGAGGGACACTTGTCTCTACCCCCCCATTTTCTCTGTTGGGTGAGGGGAAGGAAAGAGAGAGCTGTCAAGTAGAAAATGGCCAGATGCTGAGCAAACATTTGACCCTGCTTTTGACTATGTCAGTTCCCAGTCCTGATTCAGTGAGACGCCTCAGCAGACAGGCTTCTTCCCCTCCTGTAAAGCCATCCACTGACCATGCCTCTTCCCCACACTTACCCCTCACTGACCTGTCATCACTTCCAGGGTCACGTTGCACTGGGCGAAGCCCACTCTGTTTTGGGCCCTGCAGACATAGACTCCAGACATGGAAGTGGAAATGTTGGTGAGCTTTAAGGATCCACGGATGGCATCTATGGATACAATTTAGGTATCAGTCCAAGGCCCAGCTTTTCCCTTAAGAAAACATATATACCATGCCCTATTTCTAGAATGCCCTCTTTGAGTGTCTGAAAGTTACTGCTTATCCGTGGCCTTATGAGCAGGGTGAATGTGGCAGCACTCTGGACTCTGTAGACAGGCTAGCTCAATGCCTGCTCCATTTCTATCCTACAGTAGTTCCAGCTGATGTCTAAAAGGAAGTGTCACACAGAAAACCAAAGCATCGTTTTGACATTTGTTTCTGAGAGGCAATGTGAAAGGAGGAGGAGACAGAACATATGACTAGGAACTAGAAAAGATGGGATGCCAAACATCCCATGTGACCCTTATGGGTCCCCACTTCTTCATCTGTAAAGTGGGCACAATGCTCCTTACCTGGTGGGGTTGAGAAGATTGTATAGACTAACGGTTCTGATCCTTTGGCTATTGAGCCTGTGCTGAAGCCCAGTCTGAGCTCTTCGAATGTACTAGCTTATCAAATCTTCACACACACACACACACACACACACACACACACACACACACACACACACAAAACCTTATTCACTGAGCCCTTTTAAAATTATTATATACTTGGGGCTGGAGAAATGGCCCAACAGTTAAGAGCACCAACTGCTCTCCCAGAGAACCGGCGCTCAATTCCCAGCACCCACTTGGCAGCTAACAACTGTAACTCCAAGATCTGACACGATCAAATAGACATACATGCAGGTGAAACACCAAATGCACATAAAATAAAAATAAATAAAAACTTTAAAAATATCATATGCTTATTAAAATGCTCAAACGCAGGGCTGGGGAAATAGATCAGTAAAGCGCTGCCCAGCCATCCTAGCCAAATCAGTAAACGTAGACCCCAGTGAGAGACACTGTCCCAAACACTAGGGCAGATAGCTCCTGAGAACTACACCCAAGGTTGGCAGTTGACCTCCACATAAGCGCTCAAGCATAAACACTCAACCTATACTTGAAAAAAGTCAAATGGGGGCCAAGCAGTGGTGGCACACGCCTTTAATCCCAGCACTTGGGATGCAGAGGCAGGCAGATCTCAGTGTTTGAGGTCAATCTGGTCTATAAAAGGAGTTCCAAGACAGCCAGGGCTACACAGAGAACCCTGTCTCCGGAAAAAAAAAAGCCAAATGGGCCCCATGGGCTTAATTCAGTATTAAAATTGATGTTTAATGTGTGAAAGACCCTGGGTTCCATCCATAGCACTAATAAATAAATAGGTCCAAGTAGAAAGGGAGAAAAATAAAAATATTTATACCCACACCTACACCCAACAGTTGTTAACAGTTTGCTATACTTATGTTGTTTCTTCCTCTTCTCCCACTGACATGTTAAAGTAATATTTTGGGGCCAGTAAGATGGTTTAGTGAGTAAAGACACTTGCCACACAAGGCTGGCCACCTGAGTTCAATCCCTGAAGCCCACACTGTTGGGGGGAAGTCCTGTGCATTTGTCAATAAAGCACTGCTGGCCAATAGGAATCTAGATAGGTGGGACTAGGAGTCCAGGAGAACTCTGGGAAGGAGAAACACAGAGAGTCAAGATGTAACGCCATGGGGTAGGAAACCCGGAAACCTCTGTGGTAAGAGAAATACTTAGATTAGCAATTATGGGATAAATACTTAAGTCAGAGCTAGCCAGTAAGAAACAAGCAAGGCCAACAGCTTCATAATTAATATAGCCTCCTGTGTGTTTATTTGGGACTGATGCAGCTCTAGAACCAGGCTGGCGGGAAGGCTTCTCTCAAAGGAAAAGGTTTCCCTTTATACCACACAAAAGTGGAAAGAGAGAACCATCTCCACAAAGTTGTCCTCAGGCATGTGTCAAGACACACATGCTCACACACCCATCATGTACACACACACACACACACACACACACACACACACACTAATAATAATAGTAAAGAACTTGTTTAAAATAACACTTCAAATACATCTTTAAAAATATATCCATTAAGCTGGGCTTAGTGATGCCCACATTTCATTTCAGTACTTTAGAGGCAGAGGCAGGCATATCTCTGTGAGTTTAAGGTCAGCCTGGTCTATATAGTGAGTGCCAGGACAGCCTGAGATATATAGTAAGACCCTGTCTCGAAAAGAAAAAAAAAACTCCTATTATTTTATACAATCAAAAAACCACTGCAAAGCCTCAACAGTTAGAAATGATCTTCTAAAGTTATCTAATGGTTATATTTAAAACATTCCAGTTGCTGAGCATAGTGGTGTAATCCCAGTACTCAGGAGGCTAAGGCAAAAAGGACCCTTAGCTTGAGACCCGCCTTAGCTGTATAGTAAGTCTCTGTCTCCAAAACAGAGGTGTGTGACTCAGGGTTAGGAGTGCCTGCCTTTCATATACAAGGTCCTGAGTTCAACTGCCAGCATCACACACACACACACACACACACACACACACACACACACACACACACACACAAACCCCCCCAATATTTTTTACAGCTAGTGTGTATAAATCCGGGAATGGAAGCATAATCACAAAGTTATTGAGTGCCAGGACTGAAATTTAAAGCAGGCTGCTTAGCTCCAACCATCAGTAACAGTGTACCTGGAAGTTCTTGGAAGCATTGGACATAGTACACCTAATATGACATCTTTCTCACCCTCATTCCACACCTTCCTGCTGTCTCTTTCTGAAATGCCTTGTCTGTGAGACACCTCTCATCCTCCCCCCTCCTCAGTGACCTCCAGAAAGTCCCTTACCTGAGGCTGGTCCAAAGAAGACCTGGGGAGATGGGGCCAGCTTCTCCCACTGGTATTGGGCAATAGGCTTACTCCTTGGGGACTTGCAATTCAGGGTCACATTGGTCCCCACATAGGGTACGCCCTGGAAACTACAGGATGGAGGAGCTGGAGGAACTAGAGGAGAGAAGATAGATTAAAACCCATACCCTAAGGACCCACTGGCTCCCCTCCCCCAGTCTCTTTTGTCATTCGGAATTTCATCCCCAGGTCTTAGACTCAGCCACTTGAGGGAGAGGTCCCCCTGTCCTCCCTGTACTGGGGTGGGAAGGAATCGACAGATGTACCCTTTTTCCTCACCCAGCACTTGGAGCTCTATGCTTTTGCTGTTGTGGTCCGGTTTTGGGCCTCCACTGTCTAGAAAGCTGACAGAACAACGGTAGGTTCCAGAGTCTTCCTCCTGGAGGGCCTCCAGCCTCAGAGACACGTTCCGTGTTGAGACAGAGTGGACAAGGGATACTCGAGGTTTACTTGACAGGGCCCCATTGAAATAGGACAACACCTGGTGGGGACAGGACACCTGTTGCTAGTCTCTGATGCATCTGTTCACACAGGCTCAGCCCGGCCCCCTCCTCCAAAAAGGACTTCTTCACAGGCTGGACCTGAACCCAACCTTCTGAGTCGCTTTGCATTTACCCGTCTTCCCAACCACCTCTCACAACACCTGGCAGCTTCGCTTTTCCATGGGAACCATCTCTTCCGCTCTTATGGTAGCTTCTGAGGTGAATACCGCAGAGGGGGAAGAAAAGGCAATGCAAGAGGAAGAGGGAATGAAAGAAACTCAGACTGTAGACTGTAAGATGTAAAAGTTCTACTGTTAGAGGACACGTCTTTAAAATAAGAGAGAAAAGACTTTTGTTTTCTAATCTTAATAGTTATGCTGCTGCTGCTGGTGGTGGTTGTGGCACATGCCTTTAATCGCAGCCCTTGGGAGGCGGAGCGGTGGGTCTCTGAGTTCGAGACCAGCCTGGTCTACATAGTGAGTTCCAGGATAGCCAGGGCTACACAGAGAACCCCTGTCTGGGGTGGGAAAGGTGAGGGGAGTGTGTGTGTGGGGGGGTTGTATGGTTGGGAGGGATGGCTCAGTCTCTGATGTGCTTGTCCTGCAAACGTGCAGACCTTTACAACTATCAAAATGAACAACCAAAAACAACAACAACAACAAAAAAAAAAAAAAAAAAACCCAGCATGGTAGAGAGAGCACTTATAATCCCAAATCTAGAAAGTCACAAACAAGTGGTCTCTGGGACTAGCCCAATGGGTGAGCCCCAAGGGTAGTTAGTGTGAGGCCCTGTCTCAAAAACAAGATAGGTAGTGCCTGAAGAATCACACCAAGGTTGACTTCTGGCTTTCACATGCATATGTATATGAAAATGTACACACATGTACATACATCAACATGCACACACAAACATGCATGTTCACAAAAAATGTAAATGGGGGGGTTGAATTTCTCGAGAAGCTAAACTAGTAGAGTGCCTGCCTTACCCATGTGTGTGGGAATCCATAGGCCCATACCCAGCACTGCATAATTCCAGCACATGGGAGACAGAGGCAAGGAAGTTTATGGACAGAATAGACTCTGTCTCAAACAAAACAAAACAAGACCAGGCATGGTGGCATACACCTTTAATCCTAGCCTACAGGAAGGCAGAAACAGGTGAATTTCAAGGAGTTCAAGGCTAGCCTGGTCTACAAATTGAGTTCCAGGACAGTCAGAGCTTTAGAGAGAGACCTTGTGTCAAAACAAACAAACAAACAACAGAAAGCAAACAAACAAATGGAAGACAGAATACCAAGATCAAATGACTTCCCTGAATACAAGGCATCCATGCAAGTAACAAGAACTGGCATCAGCTTCTGGATAAAGAACCACTGAGTTCCAGTCCTGTGTAGTGGATGAACAGTGGGAGAAGGAGGCCATACTGTCTTCCACAGATATAAAGAGTTAAGGGGGTTGGGAACGGCAAGATGACTCACTGGATTAAAGCACTTGCCACCAAGTCTGATGATCTGAGTTCAATCCCTGGAATTCACATAAAGATAGAAGGAAAAATATACGCAAACATCATGATGACGAAGACGACGACGACGACGATGATGATGATGATGATGATGAATTTTGGGGCACATGCAAGCCCCTAAATACACAGACAAGATGATAAATTTTGAAGCCCAGAAAATGTCAACACGTAATATGACATGTGGGGCTTTTAAAACGGGTGCCGCAGGCCATGGCGCCCCTTGCCGTTAGTCTCAGCATGCAGGAGGCAGAGGCAGGCAGGCCCCTGGGAGGCCAGCTGAGTATACAGGGTGAGACCAGGTCTCCAAAAAGGAAAAGGTTGTGTTTTACTCTCCCCATGTTCCTCAGTCCTCAGCCCTACCCTCGCCCCCACCCCCACACGCTCCTCTGGGTTTTTACCACGTTTCGGGTACTGAGTTTCACAATGAACAACCAACAGCGATACTGTGGGGCCGCTTGCTCTTCCCTCTCTGTTGGCTTTGCCCTCATCCTCTGCCAGCTCATCCCCACATCCCTAGGTGGTCATCGGCTAAGAGGGCTAAGAGTTTCCCCTCACCTGGTCTAGCTCCTTCCCTTTTTGTTCCAAGAACCAAAACAGGACGGGCTCCTCCCAGGGTTGGGACGAAGGCTTCTCCTGTGTCACCGTGTACCAGGTGGGGAGCACCACTTCCTGTCCCTCTACGGCCTCCAACTTGCTGATGCCGGTGGGCATGTGCAGCTGCAGCTTGGCCAGTGCGAGGGAAGCTGAAAACAGAGCAAGGAAGCGTCAGCTCCCAGGGCTAGCAACCTGCTCAGCCCAAGGACCCTGCCCTACATCTGTCGCTAGAGGCCAGAGGGACAAAGCCTGGAGGGGTGCCAGAAGACCTCTTTCCCAAGGTCCTGCTCCTTCTCACTGGCGTGTAGAGCAGGGGTGGGACCACATTTCTATGTATTCATTCTAATCCAGAGGTACAGAATCTGAGCAGATTCCAGGCCGAGGAGGGTCGATTCAGACCGGAAGGCAGACCTACTTTTGATCCACACCCCGCGTTACACACTTGCTCTTCCAGTCTCCTCAGTGAAAGGCGAGGGAGAATAGAGGTGCCGGTCCAGGTCACCCACTCCTCACGCCCGAATGGCAGATGTGGGCGGCGGCGGGGGCGAAGGGGGGCTGCTGTGCAGTTACTCATTAACCCCGCGGCTCCTTCTGAACCCCGGATTGAGAGCGTGAGTACTGTGCTTCCCAGCTCCCTCGTCTAGCCGGTGACTAGGGGAATCCCAGGCCTCCGCTCAGTCCCACTGACTGAGACCCCTCCAAATCCTCAAGAACGCTTTTGGGTTCCTGGCTATCAAAGCAAGTGCCGCTGGGTTGCGGGGAGCTTCGGGGAGGAAGCTGAGGACAATCTTCTCACAAGTACAAAGCTTCCCCAGGCGCATGTCCTGTGTTCGGGCGGACAGGGGTGGCAGCTACAGTTAGGGAAACACTGATGGCAGTTACAACGCCAAGAACACTTGTCTTTTGCCCTTTGGAGGGGCGAGCGGGTGTCAAGTACTAAAGTCTTTTGAGAAATAACTTTGGGTAAGTATAGAACCGAGCCTGGGGACGCTGACCGCTCTGGTCCTGAGCCCTGATCTTCCCGGATCACAGCACTCGGCACTCAGGACTAACTGCCACCTCGGGGAAGGTGACCTGGAAGCCAGAGCGCAGAGGCCGAAGACGGTATGTGCTGGCAGAGCCGGGAGACTCGGTGCCCACCGAGCCAGGATGCGCGCCTCCCCCATCGCTTCCCGGCCTCGTCTTAACTCCGGACCCCACCCCTATTCCTTGTTCTTCGTGGCAGCCCCCACCCCTGACATTTCCTGGCGGGTCCCTGCGGTAGGAGCAGGAAACTTGCGCCCGCCGATAAGGCAGAAGACAATGAAGCCGGGACCGCTAGACCGGAGGCTCAGCAGGCGAAAACAACCCCCGCCTTGAGAAGCTCCGCTTCCTCCAGGGACTCCGCATGTAGGCGCACCTGGAGACTCCAGGCGGCAGCCGCTCATCCCAGCCTTCTCAGAAGCACTCGCTCTAAGGCCAGGGGAAATTGTACCCAGAAGGACCCCAGCTTGGCGCGCCACGGGTGCCCTATCTGCCTCCTCCAGGTTTTGCATCTGTAGTTTGCAAAGTGAGGGGCGGGCGGGAGCGAGATGCAGCTCCTTCAGTGAGATTTCCCAGCCCTCTGCTCTGTCCTTGCTTGGAACCGAAGAACCCTAGTTGGTCAGACCTTTTGGTAACTGGGTGCCACAAGGATAAAAATGGGGAGTTGCTGGGTTCCAGTTAAGGATTCCTGAGCAGCTCAAGAATAGCATCGTTTGGCCCAATCTGAGACCAGAGTGAAAGAACAGGCGAAGGGCCTAAGCCGAGCACAGCGAATGGTCCCTGCTCCCCAGGGCTACTATTTTTAGTTTCCCTCTTTCTCTGAGAAACTCCCCTTGTGGGCTTCTCACGCTCCAGGGGCAGCTCTGAGCCACGAAAGAGTACTTGGAGCAGGAGGGTTTTTGTGCCTTCCCCAGGAGCGGCGAACACATTTAACCCCCACCCCAGAGGTCAAGAAGGGTAACCCTCATGACAAAGATTGCAACTTGGGGTCTTTGGTTGGACAAACTAAGACGCAAAGCTGTAAAGAAAAAAAGGAGGAGGCCACGGGTGACCCGCAGAGGATGCCTGCGGTGCCCAGGCGCCAGTATCGGCTTTTCCTCCCTTGCTTGGAGACCGACACTGCCCCTTCTAACACAGAAGGGTCCAGTTGAGGAAAAATGCAGAAAAGAAACAGAAACTGAGGTTGAAGGTGCAAAAGTAGAGTGAAGGAGCAGAAAACTCTCAAGCTTTGGACTGGCTAGTGAGGGCCGGAAACCCATGAGACTCATATATCTGGGGACCTTAAGATTTCATGTCCTCAACACCACTGGCACACAGACTGAGATTATGGGCAGGAACAAAGAAGTCCCCATCAATGTGACTGAATTTTATCCTACATTCTTCCAGGTCTCGCCTGCTTTAGCATCCTCTAGCCTGAGAAAGGAGTTAAAGCAGAAAATGCCAAACCCAGACAGCAAACAGCCCAGGGAGTAGCTAATAATGGACTTGGTTCTGGCTGGGTCTTTTCTCTCCAGATAGAGCACTGGGTCACCGTCAACTCCTGCTAGATGTCCTAGGAAGCTCCCCCGAGCACTTGCTTCAGGAGGTTTCCTTCCTCTGGGACACTTTGGCACCCTCTCCCTGCTTTCCTTGCTTCTTTGGACGTGAGAAAAGATAAGGATGATGGTAGACCTGAGAATGTGCTATGTGACTAGTCTCAGCATTTGACCTCTTCCCGAATTTCCTGTGTCCAAATGACCTCATGGTCAGGCTTTGGGGGCATCTCCTTTGCTTTCCAGGGCAGGAAGCCATAGAGAAAGAAAGGAACATGGTGGGGGAAACGCTGTGACGTAAAATACTGGCTGGAAGTACTTGCGTCAAGACTGAGGACCAGAGACATTCCCCCAGGGATCTTTCGTATCAGCTTGAATGTGTGTGTGTGGGGGGGGTGCGCACTGGGATTAAGTCCTTAAGCTCTTTAGTCACTGTCTCATCTAGTGCCTCAGCTTATCCAGCTGTGATGAGTGGGGGTCGTGAGTAGACGAAATAGCTCCCATAACTCATCCCAGAGGTCTTGCCTGGAGATATCTTTATACCCCTTCCCAACACCGCACCCCACTCCGAAGCTGGGAGCTGTTCTGGCCATAGAAGGGAGGAAACATAGCACCAACCAAGGAAACCCCGAAGTAGAGGGTGATGAATTAAGACAAGAATGTCAAGCAGAAGTCCCATCACAACCACTCCCCAAAGTCCTCCCTAGGATCTAGGATCGGATTTCTCTGATCAAAGACCCTCCAGGCCCGAGGTTTGACTCACCAAAGGTACTCAGTCCCAGGAACAAAACCCGCAGCAAGCTGGTCTCGGGAGTTCCAGCCGGAATAATCATGGCCCTCCTTGGCCCGGAGTAATCAGGACAGCTAGGGGCACGCACTGTCTACAGGTGCTATGGCGATCGGCGGCAAGTCGAATGTGCACAGACACCAGGCTATTGACAAGGGTGGCTCCAGCCCAAGTCTGCGGGTGTGCGGATGGAGAGGTGGGGTGGGGACCAAATGGACGGGGGCGGGGCATTCAAAGGGGTGGAGAGGTCACCGTCCCGCCGGGCGTGGCGCGCTAGTGACCCGCAGCGGGGGAGGAGAGCCCTCCTCGGGCTCGGATTGCTGGATCCCTCTGCCTCTGCCGGTTTACTCTTCACACCGGGGTTGGCGAGGTCGTGGTACCCCCAGGAACCAGCCCTGGGAGTCAGGCACACCTCCCGCGCAGGCGACGGGCGTTGAGGTGACAAGGGAGGAATGGAGGACTAACCTAAGTCTAGGAGCCACCCTCACCCGACACTAAAAACCCAGTAGCTGCGCCACAGGCTCAGCAGGGAGGCCTTCTCGGAGGAAGAGCCTTGCAACGTGTTGGAGTGAGAGGTCATGTGGGCCAGGCGCAGACGCCCGAGGTAGGGGTTCGAACTTTCGCCCAGCGCCCTCTCAGTCCGACACAGGCTGGAGGCTTCGGGGGAGGAAGTCCAAGATAGCCCAGTACCACAGGCCTTCCTTCTCCTAGGGCGAGAGAGGGGCCGGTTCTCCAGGGAGGGCTTCCAGAAACTGAGGCCCGAGGGAGTCCTGGCCATTTGCCATACTGGTGCAGACAAGGAAGACTGACTAAGGAAACTGAGGCGACTGTCCCCAGCTCCTCATCCACGAGCTGCTCCTAGGCTTAATGCTGACTGAGGAGGAGGGGCAGCTGCAGGGAGAAGGGAAATAAATTTCTTTTCCTTCTGTACAGCCGCCGGTGTCTTCGCTGCTGCCCATCCTTGCAGGGAACGGCTTAGGCTGGTTCTGATCCTTTAATTCCCAGGACTAGATGATTCCTCTGTGATTTTAATTTCAGCCCCACATCCCTCCCGAGGCTGCTTCAGCAGGACACGCACCATTTGCCTTTGCCCAACAGTCAAGAAATAACTGGAGAAGATGCTCCAAATTATTTGGGCAGAGCTTGGCCACTGAACAAAGGTTTCGGAAATCGGAAAGGAGGAGGCATAACCACGGATGCCAGGTGTGGCCTGTTCTGAGGGAACCGACTGTCAGGTAGTGGAGGCAGCTGGGCTCCTCGCCGCACACACTCCATCGCTCCAGCATTGTGCAATGGCTTTTCCTACCTGTAGTGCCCCTGAACCTCCTTCCCAGCGTGCCAGCCTGGCTGCTCTTCAAATACCCGTCATGCAGTGGCTCTATGAAATCCCTGCACAAACACTGGACTGCTCCTGACATCTCTGGAATCTATCTACCCCTTGGCAACTCAGCCAAGTGCAGATACTTTCAAACTTTGGGACTGTCAAAGGCTGGTTTGGTTTCCCTAGTCTACTAAATTCTAATTCTTCTAGATTTCAGAGTATTATAAGCGCTTTTTAAAAACGTGTATGGGCATTTTGCCGGCATGTGTTGTCTGTGCACCACGTGTCCAGACCGGAAGAGGGTGTTGACTACCCAGGGGCTGGAGTCCTAGTGCTTTGTGCTGCCATTTGAGTGTTCAGAATCAAACCGTGGTGCTCTCTAGAAGAGCATCGAATGCTCTTAGCCTCTGAACCATCTCTCCAGTGCCATAAAACTCTTGCAAAAAGCCCTCATGTGTTTCTGGACCAGAGTTGTCACTCCAAATGGCTCCTCCCTGGAAAAGGGAGTACAAAGCCCTGGCTCTAGCCCAGTGACACTGACGCATCTGATGACTCAGGTGTGTCCATCCGGGTCCAGAAGCTGCTTCCAAACAGTTTACTTCGGGGGGATCTAATGGGAATGACTGTCTCCATGTGACACAGATGCAGTCTTCTCAGGCTTTTACCAAAAGGAATTTTCCTCACTGTCTCCTGCCCCAACTACTTCTGACCCCGAGGAAGTCGAGATGTTCGTGAGGAAGCTGTTACACGTCACAAGCTCTGACTCACTTTTTAGGGCTGACAGCTTTCTGTCGTGTAAAACTCGTGTCAGCACACACCAGTGCTAAGAACTGCTTACACACACCTAGTTCACAACTTCATAGCTTTCTCTCAACTACACTACATCTCAGATCTTCTGAAGGATTTATAATCAGGGCTGGCGAGACAGACTGGGCAGAGGACAAAGGTTCGGTTCCCGGCACCACATGGTTTACAATCATCCTGAACTCCAGTACTAGGGGATCTGATGCTCAATTTGACCTCCAAGCACACATGTGGTACATACACATACATGTAAGCAAAGCACTCATACATGTAAAAAAATTAAAGGAATTCTAAGTCTTTGAAAAACATTTGAATAAAGAGCCTCCATTCTGCCTGGACCATATAAAAAGCATACTTAAGGCCTTAATTAGTCTACTTGTTTTAGCAATGCTCAGTTACCAGACAGTCTGTTATCTTTCCTAGAATACCTATCTGCTTGACCAGGTTGTCAGTCACTGTCCTGACAATCCTCCGTTTCCAGTGCTCAGTTTGGTCCACTTTTCTGACCTTCCAACCATCTCAAATGGAAACTCGGGCTTGATCTCATCTTTGCCCTCCATCTTGATCACAGGAGTTTAACAATGCCACACTCCTAGTAATATTATGCAGGAAGAGGAAGTCCTCACCAAATGGTCCTAAACTATTCTGCCCCATCTAGTACCTACTGGCCAAATTAGGGAATACATAGATAATAGATAGATATAGATTCAGTATTAATGTTAGTTCTGGGTTGGTCAGTAGCTGTACTGGAGATAATATTCCTGGTGATGTTTGTTCCTCCGGTTTGGCACTGATAATTATGAGATTACTGCTTTCCGATCACCAGTGTACCCCAGAACCAAAGGTTAAACTCACAAGAATCTCCCAAGGCCCCTACCTACACACACTGCATGCTGAGCAGGTGCTGCACTGACAGTCTCAGGATATTTATGCTCTCCCTCAAGTGGCACCTATTTTTAGCAGCTTACATCAGGAAAAAAAGGTAACTCCATAAGCCCAGACTCAACATAAACCATCCCAGTGGCTAGAAATACTCTAGATCACTAGGAAAATATATAAACATCAATTAGCCAAATCGTATCAAAATAAGGAGGGGGATCATTGATTTGACTTCACTTTGTGGGTTGTGGGAAATAATGTTTTAATATGCAATTTTATTTTACTTTTAGTTTTTGAGACAAGGTTTCTCTGTGTAGCCTCAGCTGTCCTGGAACTTAAGAGATCCATCTGCCTCTGGCTCCTGGGTGCTGGTACTAAAAATGTGTACCATCACCTCCTATACTGTGATTTTATTTTCAACAGTACAGAAAATCAGAAACTTAGTTCTTATCTGGGCTTGCTGCCCATTTAAAGTGGAATGCCTGAGAGGTGTTAAAAACAAGTAACCAAAGGAGCAAGTTCTTGCCATAAGACCAAGTGACTTGACTGCTATAGACTGTTCTCAGCCAAGTGTACTAGCCTCCCAGTGGAGTGGTGTCTGACCCACCAAAATCTCAAAAGAAGCCTGTGCATGAGTCATTGCCTAAGGGACTGACACCTTCCAATTTCGTCTCTCACAGACCACTTTTCAAAGACATTAGTATTGTGTTTCTATTGGTTCCTCACTTTCTTAGACACGGTGAGATGGCATCAAGTCTGTCCTTTCAGTACTTATATTCCAATTACTGAGTAAAAAAGATGCAGTCAAAGTGCCTTGCAAATTTATACTCCTAAAGTCAGAAGGAATATTACTGCAATCATTTTCTAGTAAGAGATACAGTATAGTTTCTAATGACCTCTGGAACTTTGACAAGAAATGACTATGGTCATTGCTAATATATAGAGAAAATAGAGCCTTTTTTGTTGGGTTTGGTCATTCTTTTCTTTCCAGGTTTGGGAATTGAACCCAGGGCCTTGTGAATTCTAGATGAGGACTAGTAGTGTGCCACACCCCAGCCTTGGCTTGTTCACTCTTGCGCAAAGCCGGATCTATTCCCCACAATCACTGCAGCCACTCTGGTACAGAAGCTCAACCAGCACACCCAAAAGGTCAGGAATCCCTTTAATTTTTTTCAATTTAAATGGCAACACAACCATAAAAGTTGGTACATCACATAAACAAAATTCTTTGCAAGCAACACTGATTGGAAATAGCAAAACACTTGGTTGGTGAAAAATGAAGTTCTAAATTATATACAATAGTAGCTAAAGGTAATATTGAAAAACAGCCTTATTTACTGTGACTCAAGATTTACTTGCCATTATCTATTGCTTATTTACCAAGGTTGTAAGTAATACTTATAGAGATGTGTAAAAATGAAACGTGAAAAAAATACAAATTTCAATTTCATATGAAACTCAAAGTATAAGTTTTGTCCAATATGGAATGTACCTACATTTGTTTATATCAGGGCTCTAAAATCCATTTAAAAATCGATGTTACCTTTTTTTAAAAAAGAATTGACCCACCATGCAAGACCTGCTTGCTCAAAATGAGCATTTCAGGTGAGGTCTGCTTTTTCTGCCCAGAGTCTACTATGATTCTTTAGAGGTTGCATTGGTCTCATCGTGGAAATAGTTCCCATGAAGAGTCTGATGGCAGCATCTGGATGTGGGGTAGTCTGGGTAACGGAACTAGGGGGAAGAATGCACACGCCCAAATCCTTATGAAGGATGACACTCAGTTGTTAAATTTTAAGGGGTATCCAATGGCTTTTTCCAGGCACTCAACTAATGAGCCAGCGGACAGAAAATCCCTCTCTACTTCTACAAATTTGATATAGATGGATTTAGGGGAAACTCCAGGATCCACAATACAGTTCTGAGACAAAAACCCATTAATGCCAACCCAATCTTTACTGAAGGTTTTGGTATTTGCTTGAAAATGTAAAAACAAGCACTGCTGCAGAGTCCTGACCTCAGCAATACCGAGGTAGCAGTAGATGATTCGGGTGGGTTCTACTTCCACCTGTAACGAGGCATGTGCTGAGAGGGTTTCCAGGCCAACCTGGCCCTCTTTTCCTGGGTCCAGGGCCTGGCGCTCCACATCTGGTGAAAGAGGCCTCTCAATGCATTCTTCATAGCCAATGGCA